GGTTATAATTTGGGTAACTATACTTACAACCCCAATTAAGGGACTTATAACCTTACTTACTAAGTCCCATGATCCTCCAAGTAGTTCTCTAAATTAGGGTCGCCTTTTTGGGTCCCCAATATAGTACGGCACCCTTATAAAAAGGACCGCCAAGAGGGACCCTAATTTAGAAAACTACTCATGTGTTTTGGGTTTAGGCGGGCGACGGCTTGAGGGGCTTAGGGGTTTTAGGTTTTGGGGTTTTGGGGGTTGAGGTTTGGGGTATTACGGAGTTGCGGGTTCACGGTTTACTATCATCGAAGGCCGACGTTTCGATTTCTCGCCCTCTTTCGGGGCATAGACATGGATGCTCAGTGGGATGCTGTTCTGTGTTCAGAAATCAGGCGCGTAAGCTTTAGAGCTTGGGTTTGGGGTCCAGAGTTTTGGGGCTCGGGCTTTTAAATCGAACCTCACGAATATGCTGAAGGTTGGCTATGGTGTGGAGAGTTTGTTCGCCCGAACATGTATAAGTATAGGGCAACGGTTTGCTGTCTTCGGGTGTTAGAGTTCCTGGTCAAGGTCGGCTGCGAACATGCAAGCTGCTCGCGATTTTAGATGTCTTCGCGATGTCTTCTGCTGGTTCTTCGTAAACCCTGAACCCTAAACTCCATACTTGGAGGATCATGGGACTTAGTAAATAAAGTTATAAGTCCCTTAACTGGGGTTATAAGTATAGTTGCCCTAATTATAACCCCACTTACTAAGTCCCATGATCCTTTAAGTAGTTAGTGTGCGGCAGAGAATGGAGGAGTGTGGGTTTGGATTCGGCTCCTACATCTGCGGGCCAAGGCTGTTGCAACGCGCGAAGCCATGTGAAGCCCATCCAAAGACCCAGCTGCTGTCCGTACTGCTTGCAGAAAGTGGTCCGCACCTTAAACTTAAACTTCCACCATACAGGTAGGACTTGTCCATAACCTCGCCAACTTACCCGAAATCCCGGAAGCCTTCAAAACCCTAAACCCTAAATTCAACCCTAAACCGTAAACCCTAAACCTTAAACCCCTAAACCCCAAAACCCTAAACCCTAAACCCTAAACCCTAAACCCCTAAACCCTAAACCCTAAACTCTACACCCTAAACCCTCCCAAAACCTGTAAACCCCAAAGCCATCTTGAGCTCGTCACCCAGATCGTGCGTTGAAGGCCGCTTGTGCCCTGTCAGCTGCGCTGACGCTGCTTTGGCGTGGTTTCGGAGTTGAGGGTTTAGGGCTCAGGGTTTAGGGTTTAGGGCTCAGGGTTTAGGGGTTTGGGTTCAGGGTTTGGGTTGTGGGGTTCCTGGGTTTTGCAGGGGTGTGAGTTTAGGTGCTACCCATAGTCTCCATTGTAGTTCCTTTTTTTGGTTTAACCAATTATATACGAAGGATTTTTATAAGCTATCCCCAAAAAGGAACTACAATGGAGACTACAGGTAGGCTTCGTTCCTAAAGTCTGATTCCTTACCCCCTGTCAAGATCCGCAACCCTTGCACAGCATCCTGAAACACCCTAATATAGGGGCCTTAATAATTACCTATACTATTTTGGGGGTTCCTTCTTACAATTCTAGTATGATATACCCCAAAACCCTATTCTAACTATTCAGGCTCTTATATTAAACCCTGAACCCTTAAACACCTTATGTAAGCCCTTGACCGTCCTAGCATGCCCTAGCGGAGAGTGCAGTAGATTCCAACTGCCTGAAGCAAAAGGCAGCTGCTTTCAGTTTAGGGTTTAGGGGTCTAGGGTTTTCAGGACTTTCTGCAGAAGCAGCTGGTAATCTGACGCTCTAAGGTAGGGGCCTTGCATCTGGTGTCTACAATCGAATAGTGATGTTGAGACTCTAAGGGGATAGTGTTCTCCGGACCATTTCTTTTCTTGCTGCACCCTAAACCCCAAACCCTAAGTCCTAAACCCTAAACTCTAAACTCTAATTTGTACAGCCAGTCTTGTGCAAGGCTCCGGTGCTTCGTACCTCCCTTCACTGGACAACCGCACAGCGTCGCCGAGCGGCCTGGTAAGAAAGCGAGAGTGGGTGACACACGCTAAACCTATAGTCTCCATTGTAGTTCCTTTTTTGGTTTAACCAATTATATATGAAGCAGTTTATAAGGTATCCCCAAAAAGGAACTACAATGGAGACTACAGGAAGAGTCTTGGATTTGTTTTCAGAGATGAAGATGACGAGGTTTGAGCCTAAAGAAAGCTTCCCTTTCTGCAAGCTGTCTGTGGGCTTTCTCTTTCGCCACACCACCTTCCCGGTTCTCACGGCGTCTTTGTCCTGCTGGGTGCAGAGTGGTCAAGAGCGTAGGGTTTTTGGCTGCAGAAATAAAGGCCCCTAAACCCTGAACTCGAGAACCCTAAGCCTAAACCCTGAACCCTCAACCCTGAATCCTCAACCCTGAACCCTGAACCCTAAACGCTAAACCCTGAACCCTGAACCCAAAAAAACCAAGCGTAAAGAGCCACCAGCCCCTGAAACTGGCTCGTCGCTTCGAGCCCGCTGCCGAGCAAGGTAATGGGGCCTGAGCCTTACAAATACAATGTTTGTGAGTTAGGGGGCTTCTTTTTTTTTCATTTTGGCTAGCAATAGTACTCATGCATTTTTTTTTACCTCTCTTCATGTTGCGATTATCGTTAGTGTTGTTGCCATTATTATCAGTAGTATTGGTATTATGAGTACTGTTATTATAGTACTATATTATAACAAACCCCCGAAGCCATAGTTCTGCAGGCCCCTGTAGTAGCGATGCACGGTGACTGTGGCATCCGCCCCTCGCACGGGGACCGGGGACCCGGGTACCGGCAACACGGAAAGCATCGTGGAGCCCCAGTGTGGGCTTTGAAGTACCATACTTTAATACTTTTTGGGGGGACCTGTTCCTTAAAGGAGCCATGATAAAACAACAAGTCTATACCTTTTTTCTCCCTGGTTACTTCAAAACCAAGACTATCAAGCCTTGTCTACTGTAGGGGCTTGACTAATTACGTATAAAGATTTTTGGGGGTTCCTTACTGTACTCACAGTATACCAAAACCCTATTCTAATTATTAAGGCCCCTACATTACCTGAACCCAGCCAAATCTGTGATCCCCACTGACAGAAACGATGGACTAAACCCCAAACCCTAAACTCCAAACCCCAAACCCCCAAACCTTAAACTCCAAACCCCAAGCCCGAAACCCTAAACTCCAAACCCTAAACTCCAAACCCTAAGCCCCAAGCCCTAAACTCCAAATTCCAAGCTCCAAACCCTAAACTCGAAGCCCCTAAGCCCCTCCCTAAACTGCAAACCAAACCTTAAGCCCCAAACCCTCAACTCCAAACCCCTAACCCCAAACCCTACTCACTCCAAACCCGAAGCCCGAAGCTCCTCAAAGCCCCCAAAAACTAACGCAGGGTTTAGGGTTTAGGGTTTAGGGTTTAGGGTTTAGGGTTTAGGGTTCCTCAATGCATGGGCAGGGCTTCTAAGCCTCAGCTGCGTCGCCCCGCGGCGCCCACGGGAACGGCCGGGATGGAGAGAGGTCGCGGGGTTTCGGAAAATTAGGGTTTAGGGTTTAGGGTTTAGGGTTTACCTTATTTTGGGGTCCTTATAATAGGGATCCTACTATTTAGGGTACTACATTATAGGGTCCCCTATTTTCAGAAACCTCCCAGGTCGCGGGGTTTCGGGTGGGGGGTGGGGGCTTTTATGAACATCAACAGGGCTTTAGGGATGTGGGGATTTAGGGATTTACGGGTTAGGGGTTTAGGGATTTGCAGTAGGGTTTAGGGGTTTCGGGTTTAGGGACATTTCTTGTCTTTTTGTGGCAGTCATGAGGCAACAAGTGGTTTTATAGTGAAAATGGCTTTTATAACGGCTGCGTCAGGTAGCTTCTGGGCGTCTATACGATCGTGTAAGGGCAGAAGAGCGACTTTACTTGGAGGATCATGGGACTTAGTAAATAAAGTTATAAGTCCCTTAACTGGGGTTATAAGTATAGTTGCCCTAATTATAACCCCACTTACTAAGTCCCATGATCCTTTAAGTACAAGGCTCGGTTCGGGCGCTCTTAGGGTTCATGCGGGCCGGTGGGATACAGGGTTGTAAGTGGTATGAGGATCTTATTCGACTGTTTCGCAAGGAATGTTTCAAGGTTCCTTTCGGGTGTTGTGGAGCTTGATTTTTGCTAAAGTTAGCATAGGATGCTAAACCCTAAACCCAAAATCCTAAACCCTAAACAGCTTGTTATGAGCCATATATCTCCTGGCCACAAAAATCCTGAGAGAGGACCCGGTTGAGAGAGTTGTGGCGGCTTGTGGGCGATAGACTACGCTTGTTGTTGTAAAGTAGGGTTTGCCAGCTTTCGGTTTGGGGGCGTAGAGTTGTGCATTTGGGGTTGATGGTTTCGAGTTCAGACTTTGTCCAATCATGGTTTGGGCTGCCTGCAGTGTGGAATTCTTGGGTTTAGGGTTTAGGGTTTAGGGTTTAGGGTTTAGGCTCTCTTTGTTCTCGCTGTCTGACGCTAGTTGAGAAGGCCGAGGCTCGGGAATCTTGAAGTTGGCGTTCGGTTTGCAAAGCAAAGCATCGGGGCTTGTAGGGCCTTGGGTTTAGAGTTTCGGTGTCGAGAATGGGCTTGGGGTTCATTTTGTGCAGCGTTGCGGGCGCTGGCTGCCTGGTTCAGGTTCTTCCCTTGACAGTCCGCAAGAAGATCGCGTGCCGGCTGCGGCAGGAGCCAACGCACCTCGCCAAATATATGTATATGTATATCTATAGTATGTCTATATTTATATGTGTATATGTATATGTCTATATGTACAGTATGTACATACGTACACATGCATAGATGTACTTATGTATATAGGTGCATATCTATATGTACTTATATGTATAGTATAGGTGTGTAGAAAATAGTGTATGTGCGTAGCTGTCTGTCTGTCTGTCTGTCTGTCTGTCTGTATGTATGTATGTATGTATGTATGTATGAATGTATGTACGTATGTATGTATGTATGTATGTATGTATCTATGTATGTATCTATGTATGTACATATGTATGTATGTATGTATGTATGTATGTATGTATGTATGTATGTATGTCCTCTGGAACGGTTTGCAAGAGTACAGAAACACCGATCCGAAGTATTCGATCAAGCCCCATACACTAGGTTCTAAGTGGCGCGGAATTACCCTAAGGCTCTAACAGGGCTCATATATTAAGGCTTTTGGGCTCAAAGACCATACTATATAAGGCTTTTGGGCTATTTTGAGCCTGAGGGTTAAAGGCTTGCAGTTAAGAGTCCGCGCTCTGGAGAGAATGCCCGACCTCTTGTCTCCTGGCTCTGCAGCTTAGGGCTCAGGCGTTACTTTATTGAAGCCCTTGGGGCCCTTGGGGCTCGATAGGGTTTAGGGTTCAGGGGCTTAGAGGGTTTAGGGTTTAGGGTTCAGGGTTCAGGGTTTGGGGCTTAGGGTTTCGGGTTTGGGGGTTTAGGGGTTTAGGGTTTAGAATCCGATTGGTCTACGTTCCTATTATCCTGGGCCCAAGTACCTAGATACGGGGTCCTTTGCACTCTCGGGGCAGCATCATGTGTTTAGATTGTACACCCTGAACCTCAGACAGTGAGCTTCACACCTGTCAGCCCTAGATGATCGCAGCCTATAAACCCAAAACGTTCCAATCCCATGAGTCGGACATCCGCAGCTGAACAGCCAGAGGTGCTGAGTTGGGTGCTTTCTGGCCTCAGCGCCGTCTACTTGGCACAGTTCGCGCCCCTCGTTCCGGTTTCGTAAGAATCGTGGTCACGAGTGTGAGGTACAAGCCCACACGCAAACCCAAGCCCCTGAACACAGTGTCATTGAAGCCTTGCAGAACGACATACAGTTTAGAACCAGATGCAACCCAGCCAAGTCAGACCCCTGAACCCTAAACCGCGACATGAAGAGAGCAGTGAGAAATTCACACGAAAAGACCTTCGTAAGCCCATCTAAGCACCCTTAAAAAGCTTTACGAGGCCCCTAAAATTCGAAACCCAGAACCCTAAACCCTAAACCCTAAACCCAGAACCCTAAACCCAGAACCTATCCCTGATGCGCAGCCAGGTCCTTCTACTGCCAGTGCCCTGGCCTCATTGGCTCCTCTGGGCTTCAGCCTTTGGTAGCCCGGCCAGAGGCGCGTAGTCGGGGGGAAGCTCATGGGGATTTAGGGTTTAGGGTTTAGGGTGTCCCTTAAGGACGAAAAGAGCCCTAAAAGGGTTTAAGGTTCATATACCATATAGGGATTCATAGTATAAGGGCATAGGGCCTTTACTTTTTAGGGTTCTTTTCGTCGTTAAGGTCGCGATCCCTGCGTCAAGGGGCTTTGGGTTTAGGGCTTCTGGGGTTTAGGGTTTTGGGGTTTTGGGTTTTGGAGTTTTGGGGTTTAGGGGTTTGGGGTTTAGAGTTTAGGGTTCAGAACTCGGTAAGTTTCTGGGATTCAATGTCTGTAGGGTTTAATGTTCCGGGTTTGCGATAACGATATAGATATCCACTTCTACCCACACGTAAGGTAGGCGCAGCCCTATTCAAACTCAAACCCTAAACCCTCAACCCCAAACCCTAAACCCTAAACCCTAAACCACAAACCCTAAACAACAACCCGAACGAGATCCGCATGACGTCATACCAGCAGAGACCCTTAAAGTCCTAAAGACGCCCTTCAAACTCAGACCCTGAACCTCAATCCTGCCACCCGAAGACACTACCCACAGGCCCCATAGTAGTTCTTTTTTTGGGGTTCATATTTAGAACCCTGTAAGGTAATCCCAAAAAGGAACTACTTGGGGGCCTCTGGGTAGACCCCAAATGCACCGAAATCCCGAAAACTCCGAGACCGTACTCACCCCCTCAAGCCGTCGCCCCCCCACGAAAACCCAAAACTCTACAGCTCTGAATGAACCTTAGAGTCCTCAACCCTTTTTCCCCGAAGACAGAAGACACCAGCCCTGAATCGGCAGAACTTTCGAACACCAAAAGCCCCGGCAAAAACCCTCTGAACCCCAAGCCCCACCCGTGTGCAACCCGTCTGTGATATCCTTGAACAACCTTCAGAAGTTTTCTTGTAAAGACTGCGTTTATCAAAACATGTTTTGTATAAAGACACCTCAACAACCTTCAGAACTTATTCCAGTAACCCTACAACCCTAAAACCCTAAAACCCTAAACCCTAAACCCTAAACCCCAAACCCCTAAACTCTAAGCCCCTTAAGCCCGAAATCCAAGACTGA